AAGAACCGTTGATCAATGGCCATGAGTATCATTCACAGAGAGTTGGGGAATGTCCCCTCTCGGGTGGATTTGTGGTAAGGCGCTATGAATACACTACAGTTTGTATGTGAATAGGCAGGCTGAGTTAACCGTACAGAGGCCTGATTGTTTGTGGGCAAAGCCAATTGGTGAAGAATGTGTTAATGCAGTTGGCGAAGTCAGTGTCCTGAGCTGAATGTGCTCACTGAAATGGACAAGGGTGGTTAAAAAATAGCTTAAGTGGATTTAAAATCTCTGCAGCGCGTCACCATTTTTAGACAGTTTGTATAAACAAAAACAGACATGCACGACGGCTTGTGTACATACGCAAGCCCTCGTGGGGCAGAAAATTCTGGGAGTAAAATTTGAATATGTGAAAAACCAAAAACCCATAAGCAAAATCTGAGTACGAATCTTAATCTGTCCCATTTGTCTTGCAGACACTACCTCTCAAACCAGCAGCCTGGAATCTGAATGGGTGGTTGTCACCAGTCCGGGGGAGAACGCACGAGGTGCCACACCCCCACCTGGCTCAGCGTCCATCCCTTCAATCTCATTAACGGACACCAACTCGACGCCCTCCTTCCTTCAGCCTGAGGCTGACGAGTACGGTGGCGGCGGTGACTCTGACGATGGTCCAGAGTATTTGGCCATCGGTAACCTCGGGCAACGCAACGATCGACGCAATTCCCAAAGCTCCACCCACAGCAGCGAGCGGGGGGGGAACACGGACCAATCCCTGCAGCGTTCTACTACACAGGCCCCGCAGAGGCGTTCATCTTTTTCAGAGGGCCAGAAGGGGCCGGGGAGGGGGCTCAAAGGACACACTCGATCATTCTCTGACACGGGGGTCAATCAGAAACTCAGGAATGGTGAGTAGGAGATTTCAAGAGTTTCCGTTTGGAAGGGAATGTTTTATTTATTTAAATTACAGCGTATATCAATTTTCTGTTTAATTAAGGAGCCTCTCTTTCCTATGAGAAACATTTAAAGATAAACTTGTACTTCAAAATTGATTGTAATACTTCCTAAAGCGGTGAAGTTCAGCCTCAGCTAGTAGCCAGTTCACTTCTTGCTTAGTCACTTTGTGTTGCATGTTCATAGATCACAACATGGCCTGTAGTACTTGTGGTATTTATTTGTAATTGTCTGGCGTGTTTCTCTGGAGCGAGTTTGTACATTTCTCATGAGTTTAGGTCATTTTCAGAATTAAACTAACCCTAATTTTACTAAGTAGCAGAAATGTACCTGACTAATGCAGTTAAGGGTGAGGTTAAGCTGTAGTTCTACCTGCATAGTATGTGTGGTTTTTCACAGCTCTCTGATATGCGGTTAAGCCGTGTTCTCGCACGCTTCCTGTCTGAGGTTTTAAAGCTTTCACCCAGTTAATATCGTCTCTGTTTGCTCAGACTGTTTCCCCTTTCTTGGCTTGAATTAATCATCTCTTCTTCTGCTCTGTCCTTCTCTTATCTCTCCCTTCTACTGTTTGCACAAAGGAGGGGGCCACAGAAAAATCACCATAATAATAGAGGACCCGGTAGCAGGTTGGCGGTGCAGTTTCACTGTACTCCATCACATGACTTCTCATCTCCCCTCCCTTTAAAAAAAAAAAAAAAAAAGTTCTTTGTGTGCATGGTGAAGAACTCCATCCCTCTTATTTTCCACTCTTGTCTTCAGCCCATCATTTGTGTTTTGGATTTTAAGGACTTTTTTCTTCTTATTTGTTTATTTAAACCAAATCAGATTGGTGTGAAAAAGTCACTTTATCACTTTGTTTTCTTTTGTTCTGGGACTCTATTACAATTCACACCTTGGCTCATGTGACCCTTACGACTCGCATGACAATGAGGTGGGTCAATGACTGTCAGAAGTGTCCATTACAGGTTAAATACCTGGGAGTGTCCCGTCTATTTGAGAACCCAAAAAGCAACATTGCCTTTAACTGAAGTGTGATGGGGGTGACCGGCGACCCTAAAGGTTCCCTAAGACTACGTGTCAGTATTGTATTCAAAGAATCATGTAGTCTTGTCTTTTCTTCTGATGTTTTGAAGTTTTAATATAAATTCTGGAGCTCACAGAGAGGAAGATTCCCAATGCAAAACATAACTTTAATGCAGTATTGTTTACACTTGCAAAGCAATGACAGTGTAAACAATACACTTAAGTTTGCGGTCTTTAAGTAAAAGTGGGTCACTGAGTGATATAGACTACCTCTGTTTCACTCTGCAGTTAGGCTGGTTGGCACTCAAAGCCATGTTTGTTTCAGTGTAGCCATACACTACACAATAGCCTTAGACGTCATTGTCCAACACAAAGCATTTAACCAGCTGCTTTTCCTGCACTCAAGCATGTTTGCATCCATTTCTTTTAAAAGAGTACTGTAATGAGGTGAATGACTCTCGATGATAAAAAGGTATTAACACACCCTGTGTGTGTGTGTGTGTGTCTCAGAATCAGCAGGCGAGGACTGCTGCATGAAAGACTACAGCCCGTTCTCACCTCAGCACAGTGATACCAGCACATCCAGCTCTCTTTACATGGAGTCTTGTGAGTTTTCTGTGTGAATACTGACACGCATATGTCAGCTGACGTCTTGATGAGTTTTGTTTATTCAAAATGCAATTAGGTCATTAAATAGAGATCGACAGACCACGTGAGTTTCGCGCATTGCATTGTAGGTACGAATGGCAGCAAAATCAAAACACTGCATCAGGCGCTAGCATTTCCAGCACCGGTAATCATTCATTCTGTGGTTTTAATCCCTACTTGCATTTTATTTGCCCCCAAAACAGTTATGTACAAAACGAAGGAGAACACGGCAGGTTCGTACGAAGACAGACTTGACGAAAAGGCAAAAAATAGTACCTGGAAAAAATCAAAGGAGTGAAAGGGTCAGATCCAGACGAGCGTACAGAGTGGGCTAAAGACGTTGGCGTGCTGCCCCAACTTTCATCACACTCATATTTAGAATTATATGGTCCTAAGTGTGAGTGCATACGCTCACAAAATGTTTAGTAACTTCAGATCCCTGCAACAAGCCCAGCTCCAGTTTACTTTGGTGTGTCTATTTTCTGATTTGGACTATTTCATTTTACAGCTGTCGTTAAAATTTTCTCCTGTACAGGCCAACGCAAGATCCAATAGAAATAAAATAAGTGTTTCATAATTCATTCAATTTATTGTCTTTATTTATAACTGGCATTAATATTTCGTTCTATTATAGATTCTTACAAGAAAGAGGCAAAATTAAATCCATTATGCTTTATTAGCTGCTTCGGTGAAAAACAAACAAAAATATATCAAACAACTTACTGGAAAACAGTTATTCATCACTTGATTGCTTCAATACAACCCTTGGGCACATATATGTCGGACTTTTTGTGGCTGTTTTGATCTCGCTCTCCCTCTTAACCGATCAAATCTCGCTGTGGTAGCAGCTTTAAACTCGGTATGACCCAGGTCGATAGAGGGGGCTCAGTCTGGATCGCAGCATTTTGTAGGCTGGTTTTCCTGCAAAACACAACAAACATTAGCAGGCAAAGCCACAGTGAACAAAGCAGCATAGCGCAACGAATTCAGTTCAAATCCATATGAGACTTATTTGTAACCTACATCAACAGTTATGTTATGATAAATTACGTGTTAAGTACAACAGAAGATTTACCTTTGTGGAAATGCTTGGAGCAGACTAACATGTGAGCTGGAGTGTTCTGGGATGTTATATTTGGTCTGCAATCCAGGCCATCCATCGCCTCTTCGTGACTTCGGAAACATGACTTGAACAATTTTTCTTCCACGAAGGAATCAGATAAAAACCCATCTCTTTACCTGTCGGCTTCCCGTGGCTGTCATGTGACCGCCTATGGCCTTTAATAATACAACAGCTTCTTGCCATTCTTTGTGTCTCAGTTTATCTCTGTGTGACTGTTGTCCTGTAATAGCCTGCGCGTGCCGACACTTGTACCTACAGTCCTTTGCGGTTTTACTCCGGAAATGATGTCACATTTTCGATCTCTATTGTCCAAGATTATGTAAAATGGATAAAAGTAAATCTGTCTTGACCAACACCTCAATTAAAAAGTGTTTCTTCTGGCAGAACCTTTTGATTTGTAGGCAACATTATGGCACTTAAATTCCAGTGCAGTGTGTAAATGTCTTTTTTTATGGCTTTGTGTTTCTTTGTATGCTTTGTTTACTTCAGATGGGTCCCAGTACAGCAGTACCTCAGAGGGGATGTTCAGGAGGCCGTCAGAGGGGCAGAGCCTCATCAGCTACCTGTCAGAGCAGGACTTTGGCAGCTGTGCAGACCTTGAGAAGGTCAGGGCTTAATTCATTGCAAATGTAAATTGAATCTCATGCAAACATAATTGAAATGAAGAAAAATGTAGAAATTATGGGTGAAGATATGATGATAGTTACAATCAAATTTCCCCTTGTGGGACAATTAAATTATTATTCTATTATATTCTTCTTTTTAATTACCTCTGTGTGCTGCAGGAAAATGCCCATTTCAGCATCTCCGAGTCGCTTATTGCTGCCATCGAGCTGATGAAGTACAACATGCGGCGCCAGGAGGAGGGCGAGGAGGAAGGAGACAGTGACAACGAGATTCAGCAGCTGAAGCAGAAGATTCGCCTGCGGAGGCAGCAGATCAGACGCAGCCGTCTGCCGCCATCAGCAAACTCCCAACACGGTGCGCAAACATCAGTTACATGAAATCCTTTTGTCATCTGTACACAGACACAGTACTTCATGTGATTCTAGGTCTCTCAGTAGAGAGAGAGCTTTTTAGTTGTCATTCTTCAAAAACAATGTGTCTGTTTAATTAAAGTAGCTTTCACTGATGCACAGATGTTTAAAATAAAAACTTTTAATAGATCCTCACATTTAAATCAGATAGTAAGAACCTGCTTTTTTCACTTGAGGAACATTTCTAAACTTAGATCCATTGTGTCAACAAGTGAACTCGAGATGATCAAACATGCTTTTGTCTCTACTAGACTTGACTGCTGTAACAGCCTGTTTACTTGTCTAAACAAGAAAGGGCTAGCTCGTCTACAGGTTCAAAACTCTGCAG